CAACCGTATGGTCGCCGTCACCACTCTGTCCACCATTGCCTTCACTGTTAACGAAGTGGTCGATCAGTTCGCCGATGTCATGACCAGCAGCTTTGGACTCCCCGGCGGTGTTGTCGTACCCGGAGATAGAGGTTTGTTTTTATTGCTTTTAATTATTAGTTTAATTTTTATAATATTTTGTTTTTAAATCAGTTGCCGTTTCGACCCTCAAAGAAAAACAAAATCAATTGTTACCCAATACAACATTGGCTTCAAATTCGCCCTCAAACCAGACAATACAGATAACTACCCCTAAACCATAACTCAATCGCAATGCAATTATTTAATTATATTTAATTTAAATTTATTATAAATACATTTATATTATTTATTTATTAGTTAATGACATAATTATCAAATCATTTTTCAATTTTTTTGGGGGAATTATAACAAAGTATTCAAAATATACTAACATTATATTTAAATATACGTATACAGTGTTTCTACTGCAATAAAGTTACCTATTTATTTAGTATCATCTTGATTATAAAATATATATTACATAATATTTACATAAAATTATAATTTGTCATATATACTTATCGACGATAAGTTATCGTGTAATCGCCACCAATTATAGTGTAAGTGTTGACAATATAATGAATTTAATTTTAATTTTAAATGATAATCCAATTATTGTGGAAACTTTTATGCAACAAAAGTCTAATATGATGTCCATTGTATTACAGTTAGTTATAAGAATATGAGTTAGAATTCTCAATTTAAGAATATTTGAGCATGGTCTATCATTTGAACACTAGCTAGAAATAAACATTAATTTCAAAACAAATATCTTAATAAAAATTAACTAGCTTCTTATTTTATATAAAACAATAAACTAGTTTTATTTAAGTTTGTTGTAATGTTAATCCTACGAGAATCTAAGAATCTAGTTTGAATGTTACCTTTTGAAAGTTATTCACAGGCAATGCAGACACACGTGATATACATGTATGCAACCAATTTGTGCACAAATCACAACTATATTACACATAAAGGTGGGCACGAGATGGGGAGGAGGGGCTCTACATTCAGTTACATTATGGGGGCAGTGAGGGGGCAGTGTATGTGTGAACGCATGGATTGTTGTGTTTGTATTTTTTATCAACTGTTTTAACTTAACTTAACTCATAACTAACACTCTTAGCAACTGTGTTAACAGAGTTGGTACTTCAATAACTGTGTGTTATACAACTGGAGCTTCACAGACTTTCCGCAAAGGCAGCGCTTTCCTCTCAAAATAGAAGTGAGTATTGAATCCAACCATGAGTTTAGAGACAATCACTTAATCATTGATTCACTCTTTGAGGCCAACGAAGTGAAGGAAGTGATGGTTGAGTTCAACAAAGACTTCATCCAAAGGGTTGTGTCCAAAATGGATTGGACTGTCCTCTCGACCACCGCAGCCCAGGTATGGCTCACACACACAGACAGTCACTAACCCATCACTAAATACATTGTTGTTGTTGTGGTTGCAGTTCGGAGTGGATCTGCCCTCAGATTTGCCACAAAGTCAGGCCAACGACGACCTGTTGAAGAAAATACATCACGCGTTGCTTGAGATCGAGGTTATGAGTGGACACCTGGTCTGTCCCGAAACGGGCCGCAAGTTTCCCATCGCTGAGGGAATCCCTAATATGTTGTGCAATGAAGACGAGGTCTAATTGACCGCATAATTGCCATCAAATATATGTTTTGATATCATTTTTATTATTTCTTACGATAAATACAAATATTATGTGAAATTTAAATATTGTGTTTGAATCAGATTTTGAGTATTTTATGTCATTAAATGCAAAATTCATTAAAATATAGTTTCAGTGTTTCTGTGATTATCTTATGGATGGCCTCTTAAAGACGGACTCCTTTATGTTTCTATGCCTTACCACTGATGACCCCTTAATTTAGATGCTTCTGAGACTATGTCTATAAAGCATACGAAGAATATACTGTTATATCATTACTTGTGGTTAATTTCTGTTCAGTTTAATGAGTCTTCCGAGCGCTCCCTTCCTATTGGACTGTTGCGGGCCTTTAGCTGTTGTTTTGGAGCCACTCTTGAGATTAGGATCCGGACCTTTCCTATTACTCGGATTGTGCGTTTGGATAACAACAGATCCGTTGAACGGATATGTTATTTAATGTTAACGCCGATGACAATAAAGTAATGTCTCCGTTGGCGTTACTGAATACATATCTCCACTTATATATACGCAAAGACTTATCAGTTGCCCAATTGAAGAGATAATTGATGTCAATATTAAATAATTTATTTAAAGACTCCAATTGAATGTCTGGAAGTGTTTTCCGAATTATACCAGTGATGTAGATGTCATCGATCCAGAAGAATGTTTTGGATTGCTCACCCATTTTGTCCAATAAATCGTTTATTACTTCAATGGTTGTCAAATATGCCCAACCTTTCAATCATATTACAAATAGATTTACAAAAATATGTTATTATTGTCGTAATAAAAGTTTTGATATTTTAACTCTAATTAAGTATAAATTCTCATATTTATACAGTTATAATTAACTTTTGCTAACTTATTGAATACAATAAATACCTGAACAAAAATCCGGGTAATATTCATCTTTATATTCAGTTTTTGATACAAACCAACGAGAAGTTTCATTACGAATAACTTTCATATTGTGGTGAATGTAGCAAATGATCACTTTATGTCCAGTTCTGGTCACTAATGGATCTGATTTCGATTCAGGATATCTGCTTATAAGCATTTGGTTGAGTAACTTATAGTTAACAAATATATCATCATCCATTTTCAACACTAACTGAGCACCGGAACAGTATTTTGCAGCCCATGTCAGGCCTAAAATGTGTTTTAAAGTTAAATTTCTATACGTATCATAAAAGTCTGCCTGAACTATATCTCCGTAATCCTTAGACTCGCATTCAATTAGCGACTGAAGGGTCGAGTCTTGAGGAGAGCCGAGCAAAAAGATAATCAACGAGTTTTTAATCACATTATGTTTACGAATCACTTGACGGAAGTCAAAGTGAGTAACAGAAGAGTGGACTAAAACTAACAGTTTTACCACATGTGAGGACTGATCACATTTTCGGGAATTGTTTATCACAAACGAACCGAAAGCCCATTTGGCGCTCGTATTGATATATCCAGTATAGGGATCACTAATCTCTTTAACCGAAGAGTTATTATTGTTAATTGAATTAATTGATGATACAATTAAAAAGATTATAAACCACGAAAAGACTAGAGTTGACAAAAATATAATGAGAAGAACACGTAAATACATATTTATATTTATAATATGTGATCAAATTAATGTCTAAATATTTTACTATTCCTTATTTGGAAATAAGTATTTAATGGTTTACTCTGTGCTTCAAAAACTAGGTTAACATAAAGAAAGACTTAAGTTATGCAAAAAGTTTTCAAAATATTATATGTGTGCTTTAAACAATAATTATCTTTGAAATTGATGTACAATTAATAATTATTGTTAAAAATACTTTATGTCCGACAAATCAATGACAATATCTAACGCTAAAGCGAGGAGAGTATCGATGCTCTCACAGAATAGATCATATTATGCTATGCGAATATGTGTTGCAATATCGCGTATACTGTACTCTATTTACTACAGTATAGAGAGAATCAGTGCTTACGTTATACTCTATGCGCTATAGTATAAGAATGCATCGATCGATAGGACTGGCAATCAATAACTGAGTGAATCATTCATTTATTCATTTGGTATTTACTTCTTAAGACATAACAAGAATGGCGACCATTTTTCCGACCTATAACTTGGCCTCAACACCTTCCTCATCATCACAGGCATCACTTCCACCTTCATATGCCATTACAGTCCACGACCACGTTCTGCCTCCCGGATGGCAGTGCAAGTACGACCCAAAGACATCCAAATAGTAAGTTCATCGAGATCTAAATATACCCACAAAATATCATAATATGCATTCAATTCCAGCTATTTTCTCAACGATCCGCCGCAACACACAACCGGTTCACAGCACTGGGACTTTAAAAAATATGTAATTTATTTTATTGACATTTATATAGAATTTTGATTATATTATTAATTATATGCATCTAAAGGGACACCAGAGTTGCCATTCTTCGCGCATCTCTTCCCCGTCTCATACATTCACTTCGTATGGAAAGTACTTTCAGGTATTAAATGACCAAATAATCAATTATATTAATTACTTAATAATTCAATATTAATTTAATTTCAATGATAGCCATTTACGTCCCGACACAAAGTCTCGGATTCCGTTCCGCACAAGATATGCCAGCAGTTCCCACAAGTGGACGATAATTATATCAATCATTTAATGAAAATGTAAACTATTAAGCAATTTTTAAACAAATTAAATTTAACCATTGGTTTGTATAAACAGTTACCACAGTCGGGAAAACCTGGTCATCAGTGCTCTGTTGGCTGAGGGCTATACGCGATCATTCAGTTTACCTCCCGATGAAACACTATTTTATAAACTTAAGAATTATTTCCCAGTAGTAGATCCAGAACTCATTCGCCATATGCTTATTAAGTATTAAACTTAAATCAATTACTAACAATTAAGTGATGGTAATATTGTTTTGATTCATAGACACGATAATGTTGAGCATGAAGTGATTGGTGCTATAATAGCGACGTTAGGTCCAAATCACATCCGATATCAAAGTACAGCTCTGTGCCCGGGATCGCCTAAAATGAAGCTCAGATACCTGAAGCTCATGTATCCCGAAGCAGACGAAGCCATTCTCTTTGACTTATTATACAATTGCGATCAAAACGCAATGGAAGCCATCAATCGGTTGGAGAAAATGGGTTATAAGCGCAGCGATACTTCTGGACGAAAGCCAAGTGTTAAGCCACTGGACACTGATTTCAGCAAAACTAAAGCACTTCGACCACAAACAGCGCCCATTAGTTTCAAGACTACTTTCTTTCCGCCCAATACAACAGAAAAGCAAAAATGTATTCAACAAATCAAACCATTTGTATAAGTATTCATAAGTTTAACTCAATTTTATATGCATTCAGTGATAAAAGACTTGGAGGAAGAGTTCCCACAAGTCGGCTCAACATTAATTAATATGGCGTTAGAGTCGAGTGGTTTCAATCAAGAAAGGGCCAGAATATTCCTGTCGGCGATGACACCACAAGACTCGTCCAAATATCTGCCCACAGATATTAAGTCAGTGGAGATGTCACCACTTGTGGCCCGTTATTGTCGCGGAACACAAACCAACTCTCTGTTGGACACAATCACCGGAACGCCCATTAAAATTGCTAAAAGAGTTGCCGTTAAGTAAGGATTCTTTAAATGTAAACCAATTATTCAATTGTATTAATACTGTATAAATCAAACCGATATTAGAGTAACGAAAGGCACGTCCACTACAGAAGACGGCATTTTTGTGGAGGAAAAGAAAAAGCCGGTCGCGAAAGGATCTGATCCTACAAATAGAAAGGGACCAAACATTTTCAGCCTAATGTAACAATCAATCAATTATATGTCAGCCGTATACTAATCAACTAAATTATACATTTTATTACTCCATAGAAAATCATACTTTCCGTGGAAAGGATCTGATTCCAAAAACAAGAGCGGATGCAATCCGAGTAATAGGAAAGGTCCGGATCCTAATCTCAAGAGTGGCTCCAAAACAACAGCTAAAGGCCCGCAACAGTCCAATAGGAAGGGAGCGCTCGGAAGACTCATTAAACTGAACAGAAATTAA